GGCAAATGTCTGGCCCCCTTTCTTACATATGGGGATAGAAGCCACGCTATCATTTTTGTCAATATCTTTCACAGTGGAACTGGTTTGGTGTCATCTTTTGTAACTGCACACCCTTTATCACATGACTGATTTGTATGTACCTGTGTGCTGTTGGTTAATTTTAAACGCTTTGCAATCCGGATGTTAGAAAAGGTTCACTGAGAAAGACCTGGAGTCTGACATGTTGCTGTGTGGGCTTAAGAGGAGAAACTACATTTGAGACTTTACATCATAACTTCATGTCCGTCTAATTGTCTTCCCGAAAAATCCAGAAATTATTTCTAGATTGGAAATAAATAGTTTTAAGCAGCAGAGATTTTTTAACCCCAACTTTAAGTTTAATTCATTTACTTCCTTAAAATGCTTGAAAGATCCGAGTCGATATATTATAATCTCAAGCTCTGTGAAACGCAAAGTAAGTGGACCTTGAGTTGAGATAACTTTTTTAGACCTTTTAAATATATGCAAGTGATATATTTATATTGTTGAACAAATAAAAACCCTAATCAGCTTCACCAGGACTATATGGGTGTGGTTTGAATAAAGTTGAATGACAGGTTCATCTTTATGCCAACATAAACAAACAACCCATCAACTGTCATCAGTTTATGATTAGATTATTTTCCATTGTATAACCCTGCAACACTAAATATTAACCACACCTGCAGGTCATAAATTATATAATGTACATGTTTTAACATGAACATATCATTGTCATGTACACATGCATATAGCTTACATAATCACCTACGTCGTGTACATAAAGTCATTCACATTCAGTCATTTTTTATTCATATTAAATATTTTCCAGCTTCATTTGCACTGTGCAGTATTGTATTCTTGTAGTTTTAAAAATTACATTGTGTTGGTTACTGACACCTTCTAAATACATAACTTTTTATTTTGTGTAACTTAGTACTTAAAGTGCATCATTGATTGTTTGCCAGCATTCCAAAAACAAATTAATAAATATTCTGTTAATAATATTAAAGTGGACCTATCATGCTATATTTAAATGATATATTGTAGGGCCATACCTATATAAGGTATATTTATACGTTTCTGTTTTCAAAATACCAAACAGATCATGCATTTTAGCCATGCCTCATTTCGCTCTATGTGCTGTTTGCTGTCTACGGGTCTGATTCTGCTGACCACGCCCCCCTGCAGGAGAGGGGAGACGTGCTCTGATCAGCTGCTGGGCTGTCAGAAGAGGGGGAGAAAAAGAGATCTCCGTCCTCCGTGTTTTATTATATAGAGTCGTTATTCATTTGTTTTAAAGCTCAATAAATAACAAAGAAGACCTTTGACCGGCACTTATCAAATTTTGTCTGGAAGATTTAAACTTTAACGGACATCTTGACCGGCGAAACAAACTGAAACTGAAACTCTGCCGCACGGTCCCCTCGTTCCTTGGAAGAGGCGGAGAGGTGGGTGTTTGTCATCTGCTGGTGGACTAACCGGAGAGAATTACAGTGCTTGCCTCGACGGGGAGGGATTGCATTGCAGCGGGAGCAAACGCTTGCCTCGGGGAGGCAGAAAAAAAGCCACAGCGGAGAATAAACAGAAGGGTAACCATGGTAACTATGGGCGGGAAGTCTTCTTCGCTGCTTTTGTGGCAGACTACAGCGCCACTTACATGCCTGGCATATGTACTACAGCGTCTCCAGCGCTTTCGAACGGCAATGGCCGTGGCTGTCTCCTCCTGATTGGTGGAGTTGGCCCAATAGCCGTAGCGCCACCGTCCTGACGTCAGGACAGTGTTCAAATCTGGATCAGTTTTTATCAGATCCGTTGCAGCCCCTTTTTTAGAGATTTGGGTATGGAGGAAAATAGAGAGGGTTGTGTTTTCTGACACTTGGTGAGTTCCCTGGAACACCGGGGACACATATTCATGTATAAAAGACGTACAAAAGTGCATTTTGCATGATAGGTCCCCTTTAAATTAAAGTTAAATAAAAAGTTATTTGCTCTGATCAATGCTGGTTAATTAACAAGAGAATTTTCCTTCTGTTTGTTTTGAATCATCCTGTTGACCACCTGTCAGAGTGACAGTGTCAAACACTCGCTGCTAATGACTCGACCACTCCAAATAAATGTGGGAGGTCTGAGCTCAGTTGCTGCACAGCGGGGGCTCCACACTCTCCCCTCACCCTGCTGACAGGTTAGACCATCTGCTGGGCTCTATTGCTGGACTCTTACCTCAACACAGTGAATGGAATTAACATCGTCTGCATGTGTGAGGGTTGACCACCAGCACACAAAAACACAACAGAATAAACAAGGGATTCAAGAAAAGACAACTGTGTATCCTCCTGATAACATCAAACCAGGAATGCTCAACATGTTGTTCTCTTCAACCTGTCGTTAGTTTCCTGTGTGATCCAGAACTACTTTCAACAATTTTCCTGTTATATGTGTGACATAATTAGCTTGCATTTGGATATTAAATACTCTCTCAAAGGCGCGAGCAGTGGTTGTATATTTTTCCTCTTTCGCTGTTGATCATAAACATTCTCATCAGAGCAGTTTCACACGTTTGATCTATATGTTTTCCAGATGGAAAATAAATATCCAATATTTCACTTTGCTCCAATTTGCAGTTCTGGTTTCTGGCTTTGAACTACAGTGTCTGACGGGAGCACAACTTGGTAAATAATCTAAACAGTTTCTCAAAAATATCTGCAGTATTAACTTTATGAAGGAGGAATAAAGTGTAGTCATTTATACTGATTAAATGGTTTCTATTCTTGTGTCATGTTCAATGGAATTAGAAGATGATAGCTAATACTAGCTAGGCTAAATATAATAGCTTTGATATATGTAATAAAACCTGGGTGTGAAAGGTCAATGTGTATTCAGGAATATTGAATCTGTTTGTTTATCATGTCAAAGGCTGTGAGGCGGTCGAGCTGTTGAAAAGTTTGTGAGAAACCCTGAATTTTTAAATGATAACAACATGTTTGAATATTGATGTCAGAGTCCCACATAATGTTTTGTTTTGTATGAAATAGTTCTTTCTATTAAACTCTATTGTTGCTGCTAAGTCTTTGACAAAAACAAAAGTAATCTCCAAAGAACATCACTTATCCAAGAATAGGAGGTACATTGCCAATGTCTGTTTTTATTTATTGCTTAATCTTCCAAGAAGGACATATTGGTTAGATTATCATCTTGATCTGAGTTTATTAGAGAATAAAGCAGTGTGTTCCTGAGAAAACAACAACAGCAGCAGCACAGGAATACCTCAACAATGAGCGCTGTTGTCAGTTAGAATGTCAGCCATGCGTCTCTGCTGGGAACGGATGTATCTTTCCAGTTTGGCACCAATCCCGTTGAGGTACCTCCAAAAAGAGGCCAGCTTTCATTCTCCTTTGCCACTAAGAATAATAAACTTTCCCTCTCCTCTCTATTTGTATGTGACCAGTGCTTAGTATTAGTCAAGGCTGTCACTGGCGAGAGCCCAATTAGAGGTCTGAGACCGCCCGGGGGCTTATGTTCTGCTCTGTGTTTTGGAGAGTCAGTTGCCAAGCACTGCCATGTGCCCTGAAATCATTAGCGACTCTCTGGCACATCACTCCGGGACTCTAAATACTTTAATTCTCTGTGGTAGTCTCTCAATTGATTAATTGGTCGTCAACAAATAACACAGGCTTTTCTATTTGTGTGTTGATATCGAGCTGTTTTACTGTTGATGTTTCTGTCACATGAAAACCTCTGCTGCTCAGGGCTGATTGGCCAAAGCTTTTTTTTTTTTTTATTAGTGCTTTTAGTTTGTATATGTCTTTTTACGCTTGACCTTCATTTGGTTCTGCTGCAGATGCGTTTACAAGTTGAAATGTTTGCATTCAAGAATTATGACTTTCTAAATCCACCCCAGGTTCAGCTGTAACAGCATTTTTTGTCAAAGCTGCTAGAGGGAGGAGACGTTTAAACTTTCTTTAAGCAAATATATTCTACATGCTTCCATGTCATCTGGCTCAAAATATATGCCAAAGTCTACTAACTCACATTGTATAATAAATCACGGCACATACAAAATATTAGCAATAGAATCAAAAATAAAAAGTCTAGGACTGCAGTCAAAAGTTACATCAGTATATCAGAAGACAGCTGGACTGTTCAAAACAAACCAAACACACTTGTGGTCTCCTGCAACAAGTGTTAGCGGTGCGAGACCACCCAGATAGTCGACACACTTTAAAACAAAAATTCAGCATAAAATATTGGAAAACACCACCTGAAGGCTGTTATGCTTCAGCCGCCACAAAATATAGGAACATTTGCCACTCACGTTCAAACCATTTCCAAGCCTGAATTGCTTATTGATTGGAACATTTCTGAGTTTTTATGATGAATGTCGACAGTGTAATGTAATAGCTAAACCTTGGAACAACAATATCACAGTTCTTATATAACGTTAAAGTGGCAATAGACAGGTTTTTGGCTTTAACCTATGATTGTGGGTTAAATGTTGATTGCAGAATGTAATGGCTAAAGAATAAGGACTCCATCAGTGTTTAGATTGGTTCACTATATAGTCTAATTTTGTCTGACTCGGCACAAAGCTGTGGAAAACAAAATGCAGTGTTGCAGACTCCAATTAAAGCAGCTAGCCTAGCACTAGCTCTAAAAGTCATTGAAAGTTGTCAGAGGACATCATACGCATTGTGTTAGCTAAAACAAACCAAATTAATGTTGTTTCACTACTAAACATCAAACCTTTCCAATAAAAATATCTTAGCAAAATAACAATATTTGCGTAATGGAAAGTATTTTGTGTCATTTTCAGTGTCATTACCCATGCTGCATGGACCTTCAGCCTTGTAGCACTTGTGGCTTGGATTGTACAACATCGAGATTGACCAAAGAGTCTTCCAAGTAAATAAATGTATAAATAACTGGTCCATGTTGATGACTGGTCACAGTTCAGTGACTGACCTGAGGACTTCATCACTCACCTATGAGGGGTACAGTCGGGTGAAGCGGGTTAACTCCCTCCGCATTTTGTGAGACCAATGGGATCTGAATCCAACTCTTATCCTGCCTGCAGAGTTTCAACGGCAACAACCTGAAAGACACAGAGGACATGGTGTTCAATTAGTGTGATGAATTATCTGTATTAAAAAGAGGTTTGGTTATCTGTTCAACATCCAAGCAAATCATCATTGAGTATAAATCATTAGGAACTGTCAGTCAAAGTCACTCATTGTTATATGTACATCCTTATATCACTTTCATTTGCATTTAAAACCCAACTCTTTGGTCATGGTTTCATTGCATCATGCCGGCATAAAATGTTGCTGATAGCGACTCATTAGAGGAAGAAGATGGTCAAAAATAAATGATGAAGATGGTGAAGTATATAAGCAATCAAGGCCTAAACGCCTCTGTTCATGGTCGAGGAGAAACATTGTTTAAGCTGTCTGTATTGATTTTCCTTCTAGATAATAATTGATGTACATATGATACAATGCAAATGAATCCAGAATTGCATTAGGAAATACATGTTTGGGTGTATTAATAGCATTTAACACGTTAACAACGTGGAGGTCTTTTAAGTGCAAATGAACCATATGGCCTCAACAACAAAACCCCAGAGTGTGAGAGGGGAGGGGGAGGGAGAAAAGCCCTGACCTTTGACTGTCTACAAAGCATTCCCCAGACTGTGGACCCATTGAACAGAGGTCCTTCAAAGGTTTTATATAAAGAGCAACTCTAATGTGACCGCCATGCACAACTCAGTGCAAATACTAATATCACCCAGGAAACTCATTCTCTATGCAACTGCCAATGAGCTGTCATTACTCTCCAACTCCACCACAGGATGGGACTGATGCATCCACCGCCTTGTTGTGTAGGTGCTTTGTTCATATGTAAAACATGTACTCTGTTTTCACACACACACACACACACACACACACACACACACACACACACATCACACACACACACACACACACACACACACACACACACACACACACACACACACACACACAACACACACACACACACACACACACACACACACACACACACACACACACACACACACACACACACACACACACCACACACACACACACACACACACACACACACACACACACACACACACACACACAACACACACACACACACACACACACACACACACACACACACCACACACACACACACACACACACACACACACACACACATCACACACACACACACACACACACACACACACACACACACACACACACACACACACACACACACACACACACACACACACACACACACACACACACACACACACACACCACACACACACACACACACACACACACACACACACACACACACACACACACACACACACACACACACACACACACACAAATCCAGTTGGTATTCTTGGCTTCACTCTGCTGAGAATATCTGTCTTCAAGTCAACATCTGTTTAACAGTCCTGTCAGCTGGAACGGTGGATAATCTCCAAATGTGGCACAAGTCGTGCACAATGCTGGCTTCAACTTGGGGAAAATAAGAAAATAAATGCACATCCAAGCAGCTCTGCTAAGGTATAGATTAACTGCAACTGATTCTTATGTATGCACTTGGTTGGTCCCATCGGAACGTTACAGTGACGCTGTGAGTCCAAAATACAAAAAGCAAAGCTCGTATTAAGTTTAGTGGCTGAAATGTTGTTTTCAAGTTAGACCATATTTAGGTTTCTTTGAGCCACTAGGCTGTCAGTTGCATCAGATATTGTGGAAATGGCTGTTAGAAATGCTCAACACGTTTAAAAAGTCTTATCTGCTCATTGTGTTTGCTCAGCCTGTATACTCCATCTAACTTCAGAGATCTAGTCGGTGATTTTATGATGCTTATCAGGTGTGACAGCCCGTTTTGTCGTGACGATCTTCATGCTTCATAATGTCTTTGGCATAATCTACCGCAGACCGTAAAAGAAAATGGAAGAAAGTGAAAATATCTGCAAAATAAGAGGGAACACAGAATGAATTGTCACTCGCCTTGATTAAGATCTAGCAACAGCGGCATTTACGCACTTCATCCAGGACTTATGTTGTTATTCCTTCGCTTCACTGGGAAGGCAGAAGAGGGCTTGGTGTAAACACCTCCAGAGGGCTTTTGCTCTCATACAGTGCAGGTGAGAGGCAGCGCTCGCCCCACAATGCACCTCTGCAGCACTAGCACCGCACACAGCAGCTATCTTTCCCCTGGGTTCGGGGGGTCACTATTTTCCCACCGGGGGAAACCCTTTTTCTGCTCATATAGGGCTGATGCATTATGGCCTCTGAATGAGTATGGTGGCTTTCAATGTGCATTCCTCTGGGTTTCGGTTCTTACAGAGGGCCACTGAAAAAGAAATCAGCATCTCTATAAAACGCTCTTTTTTGGCACACAGTTCCCCCCTCCCTCCTCCTAACTCCATCCACCCCTGACTCCCCTCCCCCACTGCCATTCTGTGAAGTTAGGAATCCATAGGAGGTTTATTTGAGATGCAAGCACAAGTGTGAGAACACTGGGCTTGGGAACAAAATCCTTTCCTTCGGCCTGAATGGGGGCATTTAAAAAAAGAAAACAGACGTTTTTTCAGGAACTCCTTCAGGCCTCGTCCACTGTCAGCTGAACAAAACACTGCAGCCATTCAGGAAAAATAAAGCTTGATTACTGGCTAATTTGATTGAGTGTCATTGTGATAAAAGATTTGCCTCATTTAAAGTATCCCCCCCCCCCTCTGTTGTTTCCGTTTTATCTTATTGGGATAATAATTGTAACAAGCCTATCTAGTAAATACGTTAGAGGCCTGACAATGTTTGAGGGCACAGATCAGATGCTTTATCCACAGCTGAGGCTCTGCTTAGCTACTGGTGTTCAGAAATGAAAAGGAAAGTCAGTCACACAGCGATACCCAGCCGCTTCATTCAGCTCTGCTCCCATTTACACTTTCTGAAAACATCAAAGTCGAATCACAGAAAAAGGGACGCAAAGGAGACAAAAAAATTCAGAATTCCCTTTAAACCCAGCATCAATTTGGCTTTTCATGAGGACGAGTTGAACTGTCACTTACATGATTAATGCATTGCATCCAGGGGTTGTTTGGTTAATTTGTTTCTCCAATTTTAAAACATAATCTATGGGACTTTTTAATATTCCTGTGGCACAGAACGTATTTTGTAATAGAAAGATCTTATGCAACCTTACATGCATCTTTTCTGCATCTGATTTGCACACACATTCATGAACAATTGAACAACCGTGTGCTTCCATTGGAGTCCATAGTTATCTTCCTTAAAAAGCTGCACACACGCCAGCTCACAAAAAAGGAAAAGGGGTATTTTCTGCTGACACACGATTTGTATTTTCCGTGAGGCATTAGCACTACGAAATGGATCAAAGGATGATAATTGCAGAGGCATTGCCGGTGCAGCATAATGAGGTGAATCCAATACAATGTTGTGAAAAACATCCATAACGTCGACTAATGCACAGACATGGCGACAGTGAGAAGCTGGCTTTGAATACAAACTCTATCTTGGCTCAGTTGTCGGGCGGATTCTTTGGCGTTTTCTTTATTTTTTTTGGCTTGCTGTCTTTCGCTTGATTTTGTTCTGCACTCAAACTTAACAACTTCTAATGACAACGTTGAGGCTTATTCAGAGATGGCAGGGAGGCTTTCAGTGAGCTTGTTGCATAACCCACTACTACCATATGTTTCTGATGTCGAAAATGAATAATACATTTGTTTTTCTTATTATTTATTTATTGCAAAAGTAGTTTAATGTTCATTATTTAAGATTTTTATTTAGGAACCATTATTTTTCTGCTATTACGGACTGCTCCTGGTGAGATAATGTCGAGAAGCAAAATGATCTACTATACAAATGTGCTTGTGTTTATTTCCAAATGAGCCTCTAGTGCCTGGATGAATTGGATCAATGTGCTGTAAGTGACGTTGTCTCATTGTGCTGAATATTACGGCTTTCTGGGAACAAAAGTCCCCGGAGATGAAGTTGACAGGAAGCCAATGTGCAGGGACGTTGCACATTTGTGTTTCATTCAGTCTGCTGTGGCTGATTTGTGTCTGTGCGACTGGAGCTTCAACATGTTGGAGTGATGTTAGCAGGCTTCCAAATAAAAAATGTGGGAGAGGTCCCTTCTCCATACAAGAATATTGCCATTTTTCAATGACTTCAACTAATAATTGTTTTCGTTTTTAATTAATGATATGATTAGTTGGTCAGAAAATAGTAAAAATAAATGTGTGAATGTCTTTTTATACCCGTGCGACCAAAGAATATTCACCTGACTATTATATATGATAACGAAATTATTACATCCGTACATTTAAAAACTGGAACTATTGAATGTTTTGCCGTTTCTTACTGAAAAGCTAAAACAATGAGCACTGAGATCACCACATATGATGTCGAATTACAAATGAGAGCCCCATATACATCTACATGCATCAGACAATACTTCTTAATATTTGGTTTCCTCACACTTTTGTGAAAGCACCAAGCTGTTGGAGTAAACAGCTTTTTGGGAGGTCTATCACTTTAATTAACAGTGAGGGTGAGGCTGACAGCTGTGATGGAAATAGGCGAGCCAATCACAGGTGCTGTGTGGGGCGCAGGAAGGAATGTGAGGGAGTGTTTGACAGAAGAGGCCATGTGCAGAAATAAGATGACAGGTGGTTGGCCTGATCCAACGCCAGGCTGCCAAAATGGGTTTGCCTTTGGGAGCTCCAGAAAAAACATGACGGTGTTAATGAAAATGGCAGCGTCTAAATGTGGTGCGCTTCAAAACAGCATATCCAAAGGTTAGGATATTAAAAAATAAAATATGACATACTTATATGTATATGGTATAATGGAACTTATGAACTGCATTTAAATGATTGATGGCATTTGAATGTGTTAAAGATTTCACCTCCTAACTTAAGATCAGAATAAAGTTTTGTCTGTGATCTATTCCTGAATATGATGTTTAATGTTTAAAGATGTGTATTGAAAAGAGATGTAACAGTATCTTTAGTTAGATCAGAAGTTC